TTTGTTATATTTTTTAAAAGCATTTCTACATTTTTCTTTTAGTTTTTCGCAATCGTGACATGGTGATTCTTTTGGTGTTTCTTTTATTTTCTTCTTTATTTCGAGAAGCGAAAAAATAACCGTCTCGATATTTTGCTCTAAGGAGCTGTTTTCCATTCTAAAAAAAAATAATAGCTATTAATTTTGTTTGCAAACAAAAAATATAATAAAAAAAATAAACTCTATCATCGTTAAGAACTTAAAAACCGACGTGCACATTAGGGGCGAATAGCAACGAGCCGGTCGCTCACAAAGTCACTATCCGTGTGTTTAATAGACTAAGCCCCAGTTACTTAGACGAGAAAACACAAAGTTCTTAATTTTTAACTAGTATACTAATCATCTAAATATTATAAAACAAAAAAAAACAGAAAAATACTAACTTTTGAAAAGAAAAACACGTCTAGAAAGAGAGAAACGAAATTCAAAAAAAAAAAAAAAAAATTTTCTTATAAATTATCAAAATTACGTAAACAAATTTTACATAGTATAATTATTTTTAAAGTATATATATTTTTTTGTGATATAATTTTTATCACATCTACCAAGTTCAATTTACCGTTCAAGTAATTTACCTTATCTACAACAAACTTCCTAATCGGCATACCTAAATTAGGCAAATAAAATTGAAAAGTTGTTTTTGTCGATCCTTCATAAAAAACTAAACTAAGTTTTAAAGTACTTTGTATATTTGCCGATCCATGTATAAATTCTATTTTAAAATTTTAGACTACAAAATATATGTGTATATAAAAACTAAACTAAATTTTAAAGTACTTTGTATATTTGCCGATCCATGTATAAATTCTATTTTAAAATTTTAGACTATCAAAATATACGTGTATATAAAAACTAAACTAAATTTTAAAGTACTTTGTATATTTGCCGACGTAATTTAATACTGGAACTTTCTGGCAATTTTTTTCATCAATAAAAAAGAGCGAAAAAATCCTTCTTCTCCTCACGATTTTATTCGTTTTAAACCTTGCACATTTAAAAATTATTTACTCAAACCTATTTTTTTACAAAACTTTTTTCAATTTTTTTTAAAACAAACAAAAAATGTCTAACTACAACTCTGAATCTGATGATGGTTTGAATTATCTACAACGAACCATTACTCAAGAATATATCAACACAAACAACAAACTAAAGAAATTTGAAGAAACAATTTCTTTTTATCGAAATTGTTTATTCCTTTTATTCATTCTATTTATAATAGTCGTCTGTATTGGCGGCTATTATATAATTCATTTAAACAACTTAAACATGCAACTTCTTCGTTCACAACTCGAAGTTGAAGTTGCAAAAGAACTTTTCAACAAGAATATCGATTAATAATCGATTTTTTAAATCAACATCGATTGTAAGTTGGCGAAGTTCAATTTTATTTAGTAATATAATTGTTTAGTGTACGCTTTTCTATATTGCATTAGAGAATTATTCTGAGTAAACTATTTAATAGTTTCGAGGATAATTCTTATTTTTGCTAGGAACGCGAGATGGTCTCTTAAGTTATATCTTTTGTGAAGTCGTCTGCTACTCACGGAGAGAATAAACAATTTATACTAATATTTTTTTTTATTTATATTATTTAGATAAAAATAATTTATACAAGCAAGAAAAACTAATATGCTAAGAATTTTTTGTTATACTCCTCGAGGTCTGTCCAGCTCCATAAATATTTTACATTAAATTTTTTAACATATTCATTAACTTCAAATAAATATTTATCAATTATTTCAATATTTCTTTTATTTACATCATTCAATAGATCTAATGTATTGTTGACGTAATGAAAATTATAACCTTCATTCCATCCGTAAAATGTTGAACGAACATGAAATTCGATCCAGGACAAGATATTATTTAGTCTTTTGTGGGAAGTTTCATAATAAATTTTTAGTGAAGGGTTGATTAAATTTTGGTCAACAAGATAGTTTCTGAAATCTTCATATCTTGTAAATATAATATAATCATCAATTTTAATCTTTGTAATAAATTGTTTTTCTCGTTCAACTGTTGGTTCGGAAGCTTGAAAAAAGTCTTCTTTATCGACAATTGAACTAGACAAATAATTTCTCCATTCAATATCTTGAAAACAATCTTTCCAATCATCTCTTATAGGCAAAAGCCTTTCGTCTTCAAATGTTTTTTCTTTTTTGAATGAAATAGTTTTGATTTTTTTAATAATGTTTTTAATAAAGGTCATTTTTGTTGTCAAATATTTTTTGTGTTGAAGATTTTTGTATTGAAAATTTTTGTCGTTGTAAAAAATTTCAAGTGATTAAATAAAAATTTCTTATCAAATTAATATTTCCAAAAAAAAGCATCTTAATTCTCATGACTAGATAATAATTCTTATGACTAAAATCTTGAACCAATCAATTCATAACAATCCTTTATTTTTTGTATTTCAAATTCAATCAAGTTTATTCTCGTAATTAAATAAAAAATAACAAGTAATTGTACCAATAAAATTAAAGGGCTGAAAATAAAATTTTATTAAATTTTAACGTATTTTTGTAAAAAAACACAATATTTTTAATATTTTTTTATACAATTTCACAATTAAAAAATTTACACGTAGAAAATAAAAAATACTTCAAATAAATTTAGTTGGTTTTTTTAGAAAATTCAGTTCAAAATTAAACTCTGCATATTTTTTTCATCGAGGAAAATTTCATATTGAATTTTTAACGTTGAAAATTGTTATTTTTTTTGGTAAATTCACGTTTTTTTTAAAAAATTTTAATGTTTTTAATACGTATTCTATTTTTTGTTTTTTTAGCTTCTTAAGGGCTTAGAGATTAGTCAAATTTTTCCTATCAAAAATATAGTAAATTATTTTTTTTTAATATAATATGAATATCGAAGGAGCTGTTGCTTCTATCTTTGCAACTATTATCATGAAGTTTATTGAATATAATATGAATTAATAAAAATTCAAAATATCGATTTTTTTTTTTTGAAAATTCAAAGTAATATAATAAAAATTATATTTAATTTTATTTATTAATGTAAAAGCTTATTACAGTAAAACATAGAAACTTAATGGATGGGGTGGGTTCGTTTGTTGTGACCAAGACTGCCACAAATGCTACATTTGTATCTCTTGTTATTAGAATCACATTTGCGTTTATGATTCCCAACACTAACATGAGTACGTTTGTTATAACCATACATATTCACATCAGCAGCAAGACAAA